GGGGCTGGGGGCCTGGACTCCCGGGTCTGGGGGAGGAGGGGCCGAGGCCAGGAATCACAGGTCCCACAGGCCAGGTCGGCCCCTCACGTCTTTGCTGGCTCCCAGGTGGCAGGAGCTCCTCCTTCTCGGCACCATGAGCAGCACCACCACCGGGTAAGTGCCCCTGCCCACCTGGCCACGCAGCCCCAGCACACCTCCCACCACAGCGCTCACCCCCACCTGCAGGCAGCTTTCACAGCAGCCCAGGCCTGGACACTCAGGAGGACGCCCGAGCTGCCTCCCTCCCTGCCCAGCCTGTAGCTAGAGCTCCCACTCTCCAGCAGACAGACCTGGGTTTACATTCGGATGCTATCAGCAGTGGTGTGACCCTGGCCAAAGGCCATCACATCTTTGAGCCTCAGTCCCTTCCCTGTGAAACAGGGACAATTTTGAGAGCTTGACGGGATAATGCACGTTGAGCAGAGAATCTAACCAACAGCAGGCGCTCAGCTGTGGGAATGTGCTCTTACAATTGTTGTTGTTATCTTATTATGAAATATTGACCCTCTGTTAAAAAATCAGCGCCGTTTATAACGAAGGTTCAAGTTTCCTGGAGTGAGCAGGGAGAGGACAAACAGAGACGGATGGGAATAGCTGCATGGGAGATGGGAGGTAGTGAGTTCCCCAGACCAGAGGTAATCAAATTGTGGAGAGATCTGAACAGCAGGAGCAGGATGAGGAGCAAGAAATTTGACTGAAAGGGTTTCTCATCCCTCATCCCTGACCCCACTTGAGCTCTGACCTTCTGTTATTACTGTGGAAATGGGAACTCAAGAATTCTTGGAGAAGGCAACCTTGAAGGGGAGGTCAAGGGCAGGAGGAGACAGAGAAGGATTTGGCTGGAAAGAGCCTCGCCCATGGGGGTGGGAGGGGAAGAAGATAACTCTCCATCTACTCCAAATATGAATGCTATTGTAAAAATTCCCATTTATTGAGCAACTGCTGTGTGCTAAGCCCTTTGCATCATGATCATAATGATAATAGAGGCTGCAAAGCACTTCCCTGCATCATCTCATGGAATTCGCCCAGCAGCCCTACCAGATGGAGGCTATAGGGTCACTAACCCCTATCTTACAGAAAGGGAAACTGAGGCAGGAGACACTAAGTCTCCTACCCAGGGTCTGTGGCAAGGCAGTAGCTGACAGGGGATTGGAACCCAGGTCTGTTTTCTTCCCACCACCACCCAGTACCACCGCTTTACTTGTCTTGTTAAAGTCCAGCTCTGGCCCTGCCCTCCCCTGCTCGAAATCCTCCATGGCTCCCCATTGCCCTCACAATGAAGTCACTGCTGTTCTGCTTGGCATTCGAAACCCCTACGATCTTCCCCCAATTCCCACAGCCCCTTTCACCCCTCTCTTCCTTTACCAGCCCGGAAGCTGCCCCCAAACCGAGTGCCAAGTCTATCTATGGTGAGCTTAGGGGCAAGGAAATCCCAGGCTGAAAGTGGGTCTGAGGGAGGAGAGGCTGGGGGCTGAGACTCCAGGGTCTGAGGGAGGAGGGGCCGGGGGGCCAGGACTCCAAGGTCTGAGGGAGGAGGGGCAGGAGGGCCCGGACCCCCAGGGTCTGAGGGAGGAGGGGGCCAGGGGGCCAGGACTCCCAGGTCTGAGGGAGGAGGGGCCGGGGGTCCTGCACCCCTGGGGTCTGAGGGAGGAGGGGCTGGGGGCAGGGACTCCAGGGTCTGAGGGAGGAGGGGCTGGGGG